TTTTTTTTTTTTTTTGGTTCTGGGGATCGAACACAGGTCCTTGTGCTTTCGAGGCAGGTGGTGGAACCACTGAGCTAAATCCCCACCCTTAAAATACGTAATTTAAGAGATCAATCCCTAAATATCAAAAGGAAAATGAGAGAGCCTGGGATTTAGCTCAGTGGTTCTGCCACCTGCCTCGAAAGCGCAAGGACCTCAGTTTGATCCGTGGAACCAAAAAAAGGAAAATGAGATTAACTTAACTATATACAGTATGGAGTTAGTGACATAAGCACACAAATGTGAATTATTTCAAATGAGTTTAAAATATAATGACTGTATATGTTAGTGGACATACACCCTAAGGACAAAAACAAAGTAAAAATCCTACAGTATATTCAGTTATTGTGTTTGTATTAGTGTCAGTACTGTTATTCTATAAGTGTTGGGTGTGCATTATGCAATAAGCAAAAGAATGATGGTATTGGGTTTTTTGGTTGTGAGAAAAAAGGGTGAAGTAGATTAATATAGATGTGGTTAAGAAGAAAGTCCTCTATTAAAATTGGAAGCATCACTATAAACTCATTGTTATGGTTCAGAACTAAAATGACTCCCCAAACTCTCATGTATTCAGAGGTGGGGCTTTTGCAAGGTGATTGAATCCTGGAGACACTACACTCATCAGGAGATTAATCCACCAATGAATTTGTAGCTAAATGTGCTGTTAGGAAGTGGGGCCTGATTGGAGAGGTTCTGTCACTGGGTGCATGCCTTTGGAGGGTGTATCTCCCTCCCTAGCCCCCTCCCACCTCCCTAACCCTGCTTCCTGGTTGCATGGGTTGAGTGGTTTTACTCTACCAGGCCTCTCCACCATGCCATTTCTGTCTTGGAGCCAGCCAACCATGGACTGAATCCTCTGAAAACCATGAGCCTCCTTTAAGTTGCACGTGTCAGGTATGTTGTCCCACCAATGGGAAAGTAACTAATTCACTCATGATCTAATTAATCATTTTTTAAAAAAGATTTTCAACAACTGTATGCCAACAAATTTGATAACCCAGAAAAGATGGATAAATTCCTGGACACATACACCTTACAAAGATTAAATCATTAAGAAATAGAAAACTAGGGCCGGGGATTTAGCTCAGTGGTTTTGCTGCCTGCTGCGCAGGCGCAAGGACCTGAGTTTGATCCCTGGTACCAAAAAAAGAAATAGAAAATCGGAACCAACCAATGACATGTAATAAGATTGAATCAGTAATAAAAAGTCTCCAGTCAAAGAAAAAAACCCACCAAAAAAAAAAAAAAAGAAAGAAAAGCCCACCACCAGGTGTCTTCACTGCTGAATTCCATAAAACATCTGAAGAACTAATACCAATTCTTCTTAAATTATTCTGAAAAATTGAAAAGGAAAGAATTCTTCCAAACACATTCTATGAGGCTGACATTACCCTGATACCAAAACCAGACAAGGAATATTACAAATAAAGAAAACTATGGGCCAATGTTCTTGGGGAACATAAATATAAAAATCCTCAATGAAATACTAATGAACTGAGTCCCAGTCACACATTAAAAAGATTATTTGCACAGGGGAATTAGCTCAGTGGTTTTGCAACCTGCTGCACAAGCACAAAGACCCGAGTTTGATCCCCAGTACCCAAAAAAAAAAAAAAAAAAAAAAAAGATTATTTGCCACGATCAAGGGGGATTCAACCCAGGCTTGGATGGTTCAACATATGCAAATCAATAAATCTGATGTATCACATCAGCAGAATGAGGGAATAAAATTAACCAAAGAGATGAAAGATCTCTACAATGAAAACTAAGTACAAAGTATTGATGAAAGAAACTACACATACAGAAAGACATCCTGTGTTCATGTACTAGAAGATTCAATATATCAAAATGTCCAGATACAGTGCAATCCCCATAAAAATACCAGAGACATTCTTCACAAATGTAGAAAAAAAAATCTTAAAATTTATATGGAGCCACAAAAAATCCAAATAGCCAAAGCTATCTTGAACCAAAAGAACAAAGCAGGAAGCATTATATTACCTGACTTCAAATTATAGTACAAAGCTGTAGTAATTAAAACAGGATGGTACTGGTACTTAAAAAAAGACCCATAGACCAATGGAACAGAGTGCAGAGGATAGGAATAAATGCACAAAATATGGCCAAGTGATTGTCAACAAAGGTGCCAAGAACATGCATTTGAGAAAGGACAGTCTATTCGATAAATGGTGCTGGGAATATAGGATACACACATGTAGGAGAGTGGAACTAATCTCTAACTCTTACAGTTACAAAAATTGACTCAGTGGGCCGGGATTTTAGCTCAGTGGTTCCACCACCTGCCTCGCAAGTGCAAGGTCCCAAGTTCCATCCCCGGTACCAAAAAAAAAAATTGACTCAGTGAAGAGACAACCTACAGAATAGAAAAAATAATTGCAAACTATACATCTGGAAGAGGATTATATTCCCTCATATATAAGAATTCTTTATGTGTGAAAAATATGTTTTAAAAAACTCAGTAGCTAGAGCTGGGGATATAGCTCAGTGGTGCCATGCCTGCCTGGCAAGTGCAAGGTCCTGAGTTTGATTCCCTGTACTTAAAAAACCAAAAATAAAACAAAACAAAACCCTCAATAGCTGAAAACCAAAAAATTCAATATAACTAATGGACAATAGACCTAAATAAACTCTTTTTGCTT